GCCGGCCCCTTCCGCGCTTCTCCCTCAGCCTCGCCTCCCTCCGGGAACGGAGGCAGCCCTCCGGGACCGCCTCGCCCGCCTCCTCCCCGCTTAGGGAGACCCCGCTGAAGTCCGGCGGAGCGGGGCCGAGCCTCGGGCTGCCCGGCTGGCTCCGTGCGGGGAAGCTCCGGCCAACGTTGGCCGAGAACTACGCGAGTTGGGGTCGCAGCCCGCTCTTGGCCGGTCGAGTTCTGAATGAATGCAGACCAGGCTGTGTTTCAGACGAAAACAGAACGTGGTTTACTTGAGCAGACCATGATGAACGTGGAGAGACACAGCTGCGCCGTGAGGGAGATCTCCATTTGTATCCTGATCAGATTTACATGGCGCACCGAGCCGCGGGTATTGTAAAAGGGCCGTGAGAATAACCTTGAGGAAGAGCCGCAGCCGAGGCGAGGTCAGATAAGAGAAATCTGAGTCCAGAGCAGGAATGGAGTTTGAGAAAGCCTCTCAGACTGGATCCTCCCTGGTCCTCCTTAAGATAAAGGCAGGGAGGGGAGAGGCACGTTCAGAGTTACAAGATTCTGTTACTGTAATAAAAGTAGTTTGTTCATTCATTCATTCATGACTTTGGTGTTCTAGTCTGGCCTACCTTGGAGGGCTGGCAGGTATTAACTCTTGCAGCAGGTAAGAGTTGCAGGTGGCATCAAACCAGCCAGTTGTGCCTTATTCAGTAACCATGGCTCAGCATAGTGGGTGAATCCAGACAGTGTTACTGAGAAGAGAAACAGAGATTGATCCCAACTGTCAACCTAGCATCCCTGCCAAGCTCTGCCATGAACAGGCTGTTTTTGCAAGGAGGTAAGAGAAGGCATCTTTTTTTGGCCAAAGCTGTAGTTGCCACCCTCCTGCAACCCCTTTAGCAGGGACTCTCATGCACTGAGCCCCACAAGCCGCTCCGTTGTTTTTTTATTGCAGCAATCCATGTTCTTATTTATGGGTCTCAATGGCTCCCACAGCATTATGAACAAGCCTAGCTATCCACATTATGGCTCAATGTGATGTAGCAGCGTAGATGGGGAGAGGGGAATAACCGTGTCTGGGATCTCACTGTACTGCCATGGACCAACCCCCAGCCTCTTACTGCATTTGGGAGCTGTTCTGTTTAGATCAGCATTGTTCAACCGTGGCAACTTTCAGCTGTGAAGACTTCAACTCCCAGAATTCCCCAGCCAGCATGTCCAGAAGAGTTGCCAAGGTTGAGAACCGCTGGTTTAGGTGATCTTCACCCAACTTTAGAAGTGGAAGGTAGTACCACTCACTCACCAGCTTTGGGCGAGTGTGTTGCACGCAAAGCAAAATGTACAAAATAATGTAGTGTGCAAAGCAAGCTGTCTGCTTGTTCACAAATTACTTGTATAAACGGGTCAGATTATTCAAATTAAAATCTTAACTATATGAGCAAGAAAATGAGAATAGGAGACTCATTGTAAATAGCAAGGAGAAGAGAGCTGAAGTTCACAGTAACTCTGTTCACATGACACTCTTACCCCTGGCTAGCTTCATGGAGGTTTATCAACCAAAGTTTCTACATCCAACACACTTTGCATCATTAACTTAGTTTGACTTGCACAATATTCTAAGCTAAACTTTGTGCTTCCATATGTTTGTATAAAGACACCCAGCTTGTAGGATTTTAACTGATCATAACTAGGAGGAGAATCTTTGGAGTTGCAGAGGGGACCCTGAAATCATCTACTCTGTGTGGAGGAGCAATAGCTTAGTAGTTAGATTCAGCGTGGTAGTTTTTAGGAAGGGAGTTGAATATAAAGGTGGCGGTATCCTAAAGATTTACTTGTAAATGTGGGCTGTTTGCAGTACAGTCTGAATTGCCTGTACTGTATGTTGATCCCTAAATATAGAGCTGGAAGAAATAACAAACAAGATAGAAGTTTGGGAAACTATTTTAAGGAGAAAAAAAACCCTGAAGTGAGACTGATGGTCAGAATTGTAAAATGCTAAGATAGGGTGACTCAAAGGATGATTTTTTTTCCTGTCTAATAGAAACAGATTTCCATGCCACTCCAAGTCATAATGTTTGTACAAAGCTTTGTATAAGAGTTCTCAAAGTGTGTGTTGGGACTCCCTGGGGGCCACAAGCAAATTGGTGGCGATCACCTAAAAAAAAAAAGAAAAACTAATGAGACTTGCACAGACTAAGTGGGAACACGGCCAAAACTCATTCCAGACTTTGCCAGTCAGTGGTTGCAGTGATGGCAGAGTTTGCAACCTCAGTGATATATTGTCTGTCTCCCAGGTGGGAATGAGAAGGGCGTTGAGGGCATTGGCTCCCTTCTGCTTAAAAGAACAGCTTGTAGTAAATTACCCAAAAACTAAAGCGCTAATGTTTGCAGGACACAACAGTAGGTTACATAAATGGCAAATCAATGGGACCCCAATAGAGTGGGTACATACTTACAAATATCTTGGGGTGCAGCTCCAGGCTTCCTTATCTTGGAGTGTGCATTTCTGTTATTGGGCAAGTGCGGCCCAAGGTGTCTTAAGATTCTTCTGTTCAAAGGGGCGCATTTCATTCCTGCAGCTTGCAGGGTTTTTCTTGCTAAGGTCATCTCTCAGCTTCTTTATGGTACTCCAGTTTGCATTTTTACCACGTTGAATATCCGGGAAGCTGTTCAGTCCAAATTTATAAGAGTAATGCTTGCAGTTCCAAGATGCATCAAGAATGCTGTTTTACAGTTAGAGACAGGTTTGGTTTCTGTGGTTGCCAGAGCCTGGTTCCATCTCCTTAATTTCTGGTTGAAATTGATTTTTTCCACTGGTCCTCAGAGACCATTTTAAATCAGTCTGGCTAGCAAAAGCTAGTAGCAAATGTGATTCCTTAGGGCTTTCTTTGGAAAGTCTCTGTCCATCAGGGCTTGAAAAGGCCAGGAGTCATCTTAAACAACGTATCTGGGATACTGATTTTCAAACCAGTTTAAGCCTAGTTTATGGATTCTTCTCAGACGGGCACGTGCCATCATCTCATCTCTCTTCAGTTCTAATTCTGAAATTTCGTCCTTGGCCAGGTTGGATGCTCTACCCTCTGCAGTTCTGTGGGGACGGGATAAAACATCCCTGTTCAGCAGTGCTTATGCCCGTGTGGAGATGGCTCTGGGGAATCCCTAAGCCAGATGCTCCTTTGTTGCTCTCCCTTTAGGGAATGAAGGAAGAAATATCCCATTCTGAAGAACTGCCCTGGTAGAGAGCACAATGTCTGTCTGTCGCCGCTGCTGTCTGACCAGGACCCTGGCAGATCTTTCCAGGTTGCCCGATGTTGTGCTATCGTTTATTGTGTCCGTCCTGCCCACGGTTGAAGCTTAGCACAAATGTTGGCGATTGCCACTGCTATGGGTACTACAGTTTCTATAATAATGCATTTTATGCATTTTTCTTTCCTTTTTAAAAGTTTTGTCAATAATTACACGTCTATGTATTTTATTGTTGTGCTTTCTGGCCCAAAGGCTATCATAA